TTCATAAAATCATAATTTTTGTTTGCTTATACCAAAATATCCAATTAATAAATACACGAAATTCTTATATTTTTTAAACCACTGTGTGCGATAACGGTACAATACATTTTGTAGTTTGATTGAAAATTTGTTAGCATAACAAGGTGATTTTTTTATCATCGTCCACTCAAGTTCTTACTGATGTGAGTTTAATTAATAATTGAATTTTTTTTTCATAGTGTTTTTATATAATGTGATCTCAATTTTCCACAAATTAATATGTTTCTACCCACCTTTCAAATTAGTTTTTTTTATAGCAACGTTTATAGCACTTTTAAAGTTAAAAATATTCTACTAAAAATTTTGAATAGTCGATATCTAGTTCTGGATAACTATTTTTGAATTTTAGGGCCGGAGGTATTATTATTTGATTATAATAACTGTGGTGTATATATTAAGCGTTGTTCGGCCTTGGGACCTATTGGTCTATTCTAAGCGGACATGCTATCCCTCTATAAGTATATATTTTTACTTTCGTTTTAAAATTCTAAAAGATTCCCTACTACCTGCTCTGCTGTTTTAGACATAACCCATAGTCATTAGTCTGCAGGCAAAGAGTTTGTGGGTTTATGTTTGCTTGTGCTGTGTGCGTGTATAAAATAATAATTATTGGTTATAAATGTGTGTACTCAAATATATATATACACTAGCTGCTCGTGTACCCTGCTTCACACGGGTTAGGAAATACAATTGAAACATAGTACTCTCAAATTATACAAATTATTAATCTTGGAAAAAAATATTGTCCAAAATATTAATATATTCCTAGAAAATGAGTGTCTTACCCAAAATGAATCATCCTGTATATTGTACTATATTTTTCAATATATTTAAAACTTAATATTAAAAATTTGTATCTTCATCCCATATACGTCAAATAAACACGGACTTCGTTTTTCCAAATGAAAACATATGTTTTTAGCTACATTAATATGTAGACCGAAGAAAAAAATTTAAAAAAAATTTCAGCGTTTGAATTTTTGATTTTCATTAGTCCGATCGACTTTATAAAGATAATACATTTCCTTCTATTTCTTAGGTTGTCCAAAAAAAACAGTAGCCGTCCTTATCTCGGTTAAATTGCACTTTCGATTGCAATACGTTATAATTATGTTTTATAAATTCAAATGTTTTTAAAATAATGCTTTTAAATTCATTCTTCCAGTAGGGCTCAAATTGTTTTAGTTTTGGTGACTGAGATATGAAAATTATTAAAAATAACCTCTCGATGTTAAACTCCATCCAGAGATCTTCTCAATAAAATTGATTTGGAAGAAATAATAAAAAAATAGACCGCAAGTCGACACCTTCATTTTGACACCCTCCTTGCATACTTCTTAGCGCCCAAGAGTGGACTTATAGTTTACTTATGGGTAAAAGACTCTCATTCTGGCGTAGCCTTGGGTTAGTTTTTTGTTTATATCTGCTTTCCAGGTAAGATTTTCGTCTAGAAAAACCCCTTGGTGCTCGACGGTATCATCCTTATTGTTCCAATTAATTGTTTCGTTGTCTATTTGAATACAGATTGGATTGTTGTATCGTTTTAAAGTAAATATTTGGCTTCAGTTTTGCTGGGATTAAGGTTTAGTTTCCATTTCTTAAACCATGTAGTGATTTCGTTTAGTGATCTATGAGGTTGGTGAATAGCTTAGTCGAGAGATTTGTCTTGGGTGATGACTGTAGTGTCATCGATAAACATAGCTAGTTGCGAATTTGTCTGTATTGAGATGTCATGACAGTATAGGTTAAATATTGTAGGGCCCAAGACTGGCATTTGGGGAACTACAGCTTTTACGGGGTACATCTGTTTCAACTGTTACTCGGAAAGGTCTGTTTAAGATAAAAGAATCTAGGATTTTGAATATGTACGTGGGAAGGTTGAGAGATTTAAATTGTTTAGTAAGCCCTTCGTGCCAAACTTGATCAAATGCTTTGCTGATGTCAAGATGCCAACAATTATTTCGGATATACGTTGTACTCGTAGCTGGTAACAGGGTGAGTGGTAATAAAATAAATAATTACCGAATAACCTAAATGGAATTCTAATGTGGAGTGACTAAAATCAAATAGTGTATGATATATTATATTATATGCAGTCAGAAAGCGAGAGTTGCGGAAAAAAAACCTGACTGATCAACCACATTGGAAGTAAATTGGCTTAAATACGATTTATATAAGAACAGTTCAGGGTACGAAAATTAGTCCCACAAATTTTAAATTGAAAAGTATGTCGTTTTCAAAGTATTTTTCAGAGCGTTACTGTGTGCTAAATTCTAAATTTGTAAAATTGTTTATGCGCTTGTGTGTTGGTTTAGAGAACTGTGTTTGTGTGGGCTGTTACTCATATTTTGTTATTCTCTTCGATACGAAGCCGAACAAAATAAAACGCTAAAACAATGATAAATAGTTGTGTGTAATTTACACACAGTACTTCAAGGTCTTTTATATACTTACGCATTTCATAGTATGAAAAATCTGGGTACATAGACCATATTGTTAAGCGTATTTATTATTTAAAATTGTATTTCACATCAATACAACTCTTAGGTGTAAATAGAACGCAATAAAATATATTACCAACGGAGATTCAATGTATAAAATAAAAGCCAGAAAAAGAAGTTTATTATATAAAATAAAACTTAACCCATTAAGTTTTTTCGATTTTTATTATGTACAAGTTAGAATAGAATCGGCCTGTTCCTTTAATCATCAACTACCATTCGCTCGAGTACCGTGGTTACCATGGCTACAAATCAAGTGTTTAGTTTGAGATAGCAACGGAAAATATTTCGTATTTAAAGTACTGAGTTCGTGTTTGAGGTCATCTTTAGGAGTGGAATTTTCGAAAAGTACTATTCCAGTTATCTTCGTGGGAGTGTACTCGACAACTTCCCAAAGTTGCATGGCGATTAGATGAATGGTGTACTAATGCATAAAGGACAGACATTCATTTTTGTATAAATAGATAACGAATATCCAGTAAAAAAAAAAAAAAAGGCTGGTCGATATCAAGTTTGGAACAAATATTTATGGATAATTTTAAGAAATAGGCCGAAAGATAAGCTTAACAGCTATCGTTAATTTTAAACACTCGAAATAATATAACTAGATCGATGTTGTTTTCGTTTAGGATATATATTTCTTGTTTTTTGCATAATGGTGTATGACTAACAGGTAACTGTTTGAACAAGCATAGAAAAATGCTTATTCAAATACATCAAATTGTGTTTTTTTCCTTATTTCAAAAAAAAAAAAAAAAAAACAGCAATAAGTAACGATAAAACCGAGAAAATTGTTTTAAAAGGTTTCAAAAGAGTTAAAAAAATAAAACAGTAAAATTATTAATGACCGGAAGTGGTAACTCGTAGGTGTCCAGAAACCAATAATTTCATGGAATACACTGCATGACAAATAGATAAAGGCAGGGCGTTTTGTAAAAATATGTATATATGTATATAACTTATATAACCTATTGATATTATTACAGAACTTATCTACGGGGTTTATCTTACCTTATACATTAAAATATTAATAAAACGATTGAATTACAATGAATGCATTATTAGCTTTTAATTAAAAACTGATTATATTTTTTGCAGCATCAATTTTTAGGCATTAACTTTTTCTTTTTCTTTATTTGATAATTTTTTATTAAAAAGTTTTCAAAACACGTATACACATTTAAGTGCAATATAAAATACTGGAAAAATATAATATTAGAATTTGCCTGTAAAAAATGTACTATGGGTCTAGGAAAACCACTAACAGATGAAGAAAGTACGAAAATTATGGGTTTCAAGAAAATTGGGCTCTCCAACTGGGAAATTTCATGATGACTTAATAGAAATTCAGCAATTATTGACAATTTTAATTAACTTGGTTGAAATTATAGTACCAAAAAATCTACTGGATGACCTCCAGAATTGTCAGATCGTGAGAAAAGAGTAATTTTAAGAGCTCTGTAAATTTCTGTTTTAGTTGGTGACTGGTGTTCGTGGTATTTTGGAGCAATCTGTAGTGGAAACTGATATTCGTAAGACGTACATACTACTGAAACATACGCTTAACAACACTTCTTCGAAGACAAATTTTAAGAAAGTCACATCTTAGTGAATGCAATAAAAATGCAAGATTAAATTTTGCAAAAAATACCATAAATTGGACAAATAAGTGGAAAAGGGTGATTTTTGCGGATGGAATAAATTAAATTTAGATGATGCTGATGGTTATTCTTATAATTACTATCATGATTGCTACCATTTTGCCCATTGGTCATCTCCATCTAAATAGATTGCTTTTATTATATCTGATTACTCTATTATTTCTGTTTCTATTACCAACTATAAAAACTGAAGATTTGAAATTATAATTTCTATATAATGTCAACTTATTAGATGTGTGGCTTTATGATAAAAATATTTTAAAACTTAATACATTTGAAATACAAGAAATATTCTAAAGTATAATTATTGAAAAGTATAAACAATTTTAATAATTTTTAAATGTAAAAATACCAAATATAGAATTTTAATTATAAATAACTTTATTAATATGTTTCTTACGTATTTAAGTTTAATAACATTTGAAATTTTATAATATAAAACATACAATTTAAATGTGAATAGCTATGGCCTAATTATATTTTAATTGTTGATTAATGCAACAATTATATTATACTTAGTCACGGTTGGTTCCCTGTCTCAATCCAGAGACAGGGAATGATAAAAAAAAATTGTCAAAATAAGGCTTATGTTGGCTTGTTCAGCATAGTAAATGGATTGCTTTAATCATTGCAAGATTTTTATACTATTACCTCATTGAACTAAGGATATATGGTTGTGCAAGATGGACCACTATGGAACCGGTTCCCAGCCGATGAAATGTGTATTTGGCATGTCTATGCGGGTTTTCAATGTACTTATCTAATAGCGATCTGTTATCAACACTATTTTCGCCTTCGATTACAGTCGCATAGTTAGATTTTGAAGCGACATTAAAATTGTCATTAGGAACTTGATGAAAATAATAAATTAGACAAATTTACAAATTTACATATATTAGCATTTTTTGTATTCAAAAAAAGGGTTACTTTATTGGTTTTCTTACCGACTAGTCCGTTTTTAATTTTTACCATTTCCATTCCTGTTGTATTGTAATTGACGTTCAAAATTACAAAACTCACATTAGCAGTACTGTTGGCTCCAACAATGCGTATATACCGAACTACTTGTGGTTCAATCCACAGCTGTTGAATTGATCGACAATTGTAATTCGAATGATCTATAACAAGTGTCCATTCGCTCGCGTCTATTGAAACTTCAATGTAATACGAATAAAACCTAAAGTACCCAACAATTCGAATAACTTGTATAGTAGTGATTTGTAAAAAAATGCAAATACTTATAATTTAAAAACATACTTTGGTTTAATGTCACTTCCGTTAACATCCCCTAATATTATTTCAATATAGTTTATAAATGATAGAGTATTCAACTCCATCACAGTGGCACTGCCGTTAATTTCATTGGTATCTGTAAAAATCTGAGACAGTTCAACAAGATTCAGGTTGTTATCTAAAAAAATGAAATAATTAAAACCAACATGATTTGCGAATTACGAATATTAATGTGTACAGCAAGCGTACTTAGCTGTCCTCGAAATTTAGGCTTATCTGATGAACTCTTGTTTCTACATTGCACGGCATCTGCAAGTTTACTACCCAGTGTATTCCTGGCCTCGGAAAGTTCTTCGTTGCTCATTAACGGATATCTGACGGCGGATAAAATTTGGATTTTAGTTTCAGGATCGAGATTGTTTTGGTTCTTTTTGATCCAGCGACAAACCGCGCGGAATATAACTAATTCGTTGGCATAAAACGAGTCGCTGTTGAGAATTTCTAGAAGAGCATCCTGAAAACGAAGAATGTACATCAACTCTTTACCTATCACGTTCAATATAATATAATGTTTCTGTTAAAAAAAAAAAATCATTACTGCAGTCAATGACAGAAAGTCATCAGATCGCAATACTCCCAATGGGTTGCTATCGATAAAGTTGAGCGATTTGATTTCGAGATCATTGTATTGGTGAAGTCGTGTCATAACCAAGAATGAACATACATTGCGTACTTCTATTACCGTTTCCAAATACACGCATAGTGTATATTTCAATTCTAAAATGAGCAATAAATCTGCAATACGTATTAGTTCGAAAACAGCATTACCCTAAAAAATATAACAATAAATAATGTAGTTAATATTTTTTATTAACCTGTTTTTCGATTAAACAAATAATTGTAGGTATTTAATAGATCAAACACATACTATCGGCCAAACGATTACACAACTCTAATACAAATTATACAGGTTGATCCACTTATCGTGAACCACTCAATATCTCATAGGGTTTAATAAGAAATTACAATTTTTTTTTTCATAATTTTTATATACAATGTGATATCAATTTTTCACATTTTTTTTTTTGGTTTTTACACACCTCCCAAACCCGGTTTTTTTGATAGCAGCTTTTAAAACTTAAATGGTAACGTATATATTTTATTAACTGTTTAATTTGAGAATAATGTACTAAAAATGTTGACTGGTCAATAACAAGTTTCGGATAACTACTTTTAAGGTTATAAGAGCTTTAAAGTTAGGATGGGAGGAGAAATGTGGTTGGAAAATGCGCGCAGATAAAAATAATACTACACTCCACCTTTCCTCTTGCCACAAATTCAAAACTTCAAAAATAGTTATCCAAAACTGGTTATCGACCAGTTAAAATGTTTAGTAGGTACATTGTTCTCAATTCAAAAAGTTGATAAAATATGTACGTTACCATTTAAGTTTCGAAAAAAATTGTGAAAAATTTAGATCACATTGTATAAAAACAATATAAAAAAAAAATTGTAATTTCTTATTAAACCTGATAACATATTGAGTGTACACGATAAGTGGATCACTCTGTATATGTATATATATATTTTTTTTTTAATTACCTCTTAAAATTAAAAAAATTTATATCTGAAAATTCTGATATTTTTTCTAAGTTTTAAACTAAGTTGGGTGGGGGGAGGGGTAAAACAAAAAAAATTATGAAAAATTGAGATCACGTTGTATAACAACGATATGAAAAAAAAATTAATTTCTTATTAAACCCTATGAGATATTGAGTGGGTTACGATAAGTGGATCACTCTGTATTATGCCGTTTAAAAACCGCTAAGCTACGTCGATTATTCTTTACCTCTAAATTATTTAAATTCATTCGACCAGAATAGATATAATAAAGCAGTATTTTAAAATAGGTTACTGGGACTTCATTAATGGTCATCACAGACTGATTGGCTTCTACAAGGAATCCAGAAAATGCTCTCCTAAAAATAATAATGCACAATATTACTACAAACATTAAGTTATGGAGTAAAACGATAAAAATTGTACTCTTTGATTCGTAAGTTAGACGGTTGTACTCATTTCATTTTTGGTATGATGAAACCACTTGTTTCAGCTTAAGCCTTTTTGTCTCGCACCGTCCCATTTTACAATAATAAATATTTTTTTATTTTTTTTTTACTCTCGTGTTGAACATTAATTAAATAGGCTTATGCCCAGTACAACAAACCAAAAGTTGTGTTAATTAACTAATTTATTTTTAGTATTTCTTTTGTTTTTTTTAATTTTTTTTTTTAAACTAGCGATCCGCTAAACGAGTCTTTAGTTTTATAATTTTAGTGTCAAAATATATAAAACAATTCTTTTCGATTTTATAAACGTCCGTCGGCATATTCCATTTAGTTTTAAAATATTTTGGATGGTCGCATTGTTAAAAATAAGTGGAAGTAATTAAAAAAATAGAGGTCTCGTTTTAGGTCATATCGTACCAGAAAGACCCAATGTAAAAATATCTAAAGGGGCGAGGCTGTTGACCCGGTTTGATGAGGAATGCCCCAAATACAGGTAAATGAAGATTTAATTTATGCTCAAATTTTAGACCTGATGTTCAAAAACTAGAGCTACAAAAAAAAAAAAATATAATAAAAAAATAAATAGTTTTCATCCGCCCAAGAAGAAAGGCCTAAAGAAATATACATAATAATAAGAATAATATACCTAAAATATTCACAGCGTGCGGCTAAAACAACACGATGGGCGTTTATTTTTTCTCCTTCTACTTCCAAAAGAACATCTGAAAATCTGAAACATTTATTAAAATTGTTTAATAATTCACATACGAATATAAATATTATCAATCAGTTATGTATAATTTCTGATTAAGATAGTTGGCTAAAATAATTATCATGGTTCGATGTTATCTTTGTGATTTACAGTCACTAGATTATAATAGAAAATAATATAAGTAATGAAAAATTTAGGGTAGTAAGAGAATGAAAAACAATAAAAGGTGGGGGGGGGGGAGATAAACCTATTTATTTTGACCGGTCAGTCAAAGCAATTTTTAAATAATACCTACACCATATTTTGTCACTTTCTGCACTACCTAGTTAAAATCCAATAATAATTATCACACGAAAATTGGCAAAACAAGACACATTAATGGCTTAATTTTCCCATATAATTTCATATACAACACATTATAATTTAACTAAAAATACTGTAAACGAGACAAACTTTCTGAATTCCTGTCACTTACTCGATGCTTAGATATAGGTTGCTTATGTCCTTGATCAAGAATTCCGCATGGTTAATTTCCATCTTACTGTTTTTTTTAATGTTTTCCACTTGGGGTAGTGAATATTTTATGTTTGGAAAACCCAATAAGTCTGAAGCACGAAGTAATTCAGAAACATCTGTTCCCTAAAATAAAAATAATAAAAACACATAACATAATTTAATAGAAAAAACAAATATTATAGGCCACACTATCACATAATCCTAATAAAAATTATATTATGGCGTTTATTCGTTACCTCTAGAGCACTGTAACGTATTCGACCAGTATAAATGTATTCATGAAGTATTCTAAATGTGTTTCCTGGAATGTCATTAATTGTCATCTTGGTCTCATTGAACTTTATAAGATCTTCAAAAAGAGTTTTCCTAAAAAAAAAAAAAAACATATTATTACAAACATTAATTTATGAAGTAAAACGATATTATTTTGAGGGATGGGCTAGGCAATTGTACTCATATCATTTTTGATGTGACAAAATCATTTTCTAAACGACTATCAGCATATTCCATGTAGTTTCACAATGTTAAAAACAGTAGCAACGTTAAAACTACGTGGAAATAATTTAAAAGACAGTGGTCTTATTTTAAGTCACATTGGACCAAAAAGTCTAATGGGCATTCTACGGGGTGAGCACAATGACCAGGTTTAATTAAATACCTAAAATGTGTGCTACGTGCGGCTAATACAATACGATGGGCGGGCAATGGTTTTCCATCTAAAACCAAATCAACATCTGAAAGCCTGAAATAAGTATTAAAATTGTTTAATAATACACATACGAATATATTACGTATCACTTAACTACGAGTAATGTCTAATTAAGATAGTTTGTTAAAAAAAATGTTCTTACAACAAATAAGTATCGATCTTATCTCAGTGACTTATAGTCATTAATTTAAATGAGACAATAATAATTTAGGTAATGAATAATTTAGAGCAAAAAGGATATAAAGAACAGAAAACGGGGAGAAGATGAACGTATTTATTATGACCGGCCAGTCAAACATAGTTTTAACTAACACTTGAATCATTTTTCGCCACTTTGTGTACTACCTAGTTTAAATCAACTAAGGATAATTACACTAATTGGCGAAATGGGACGCACTAACGGCTTACTTTTTCAATCTTATTCCATGTTTAACACATTACAATGTTAACATAGTAGAATACATTTAGCGCTATGATAAAAAAAACTGTAAACTAGACAAACTTGCTACATTTTTAAAATAATCAAGTTAATAGGTCCAAATGTAACACAGCATACTCGTTGCTTAGGTAGAGATTGCTTAAGTCGTTGACCAATAATTGAGTATGATCGATTTCATCTGTACTGTGCGCTTTAAATAAAAATAAAAAAAACAATTTATTTTTTTGCATTAGTTTGTATGATTTATTTATTCAGGCAGTATCTCCCCACCCTAACTTTCATTTTTTAACCACATGTTTATTTAATACTTTAAATAATAAAATTTTGATAGTTTTATCGAACGTAACAGAATGTTTTAATAATTTTAACTATGTTAACGGCCCTAGCATTTGGTCTAAAATATAATTATTTTAATGGGTACAATAAAGTTTTACCTTAGAAACAATTACAATTTTAAAATTACCTACAATTCAAGGGTTAGTTAATTTTAAGTTTTACTTGAATAGTTTAGGATGGTTTACTTAATTTTGGAAACTATTATTTTTAAGTAGGTATAAAAAATAGTGAATTTTATCTAGTAAATTTAAAGCACTAGTTAATTTTAAAAGTAAACTTGCATATTCTATTTAATTTAAAATTCTTTAAGATTTAATACAATAACAAATTGGTTATCATCAATAAGATCATACAGAAATAAATACACAGTTGGTCCAACTAAAATTTTGGTTCATAGAAAATTATAGGGGCATACTAAATTTCTAGTTGAAGCATTTAGTTATTCCAACTAGAAAAGTATTGTGCCCAAGAATTAACTATAATTTTAATTGGACGAACTATGTATTTTTTTCCGTGCACTCAGTTTAAGTGAATGAGCAGAAGCCGCTAACTGTAAGAAGCTTAACCCGGAACCTAAACAAAAGATCCACGAAAGTGGACTGTATATAAAAAACATTTTAGTAAATAACAACGTTTAGTGATTGATGCTATAAAAATGATATTGCATTAAGCGAAAAACCAATATATAATAATACGAGACAATTTTACTTACTGTCTAGCCTGACTCTAGAACACATTTTTTCTACTTATAAACTAAAATATCATGTTGTTCAAAGTAATCCAGCTTCAGAGTAATAATTGGATTTTTTTTTTCATAGTGTTTTTATATAATCAATTTTCCATACATTTTTATGTTCCTACCCCTTCAAATTAGTTTTTTTTTAATAGCAACTTTTGATTTTCATATGGGATATGTTTTTTTTTTAAATTATGATTGAAACTAATTTGAGAGGGGGGGGGAAGGTACTAACATAAAAATTTGTAGAAAATTTAGATAAGATTATATAGGTATACAAGCTGTCCCGACCCGGCGTTGTCCGTGTATTAGTGTATTGACACACGATCAGCTGATCGGATCACTGTATCCCTGTGGTATGAAAAATGATACCGTAGATCTATTGACAACTATTGATACTATTGATAATCATATAAATTTAATTTTAAAAAACATTTTTGGGGTGGACCACCCTTATCACTTAGGGGTATGAAAATTAGTTAACGTCCTATTCTCAGGCCTACTGAATATGCACACAAAATTTCATTAGAATCGGTCAAGCCGTGTCGGTGGAGTTTTGTTACAAACACTGTGACACGAAAATTTTACATATATATAAAGATATGTGTGTTTGTGTATGTATTATTAAAATACTAATTGGAAATATTAATAACTATGTTGGTTGCCGCCAAACAAACACTGACCACAATGTTTGCAGTTTGTATTTAATTATTTACTGATATCAGCCAGAAGAAACGTGTCAAAAACCGGTGACTGTGTGTGGACACAGCGAAGCCAAAGCGTCCCCCTCTCAGTTTGGGCGATACCATGATAAAAAAAAAAAACTGTGTATCGACGTCGATGACAAAACGCACAAGCGGATAATGATATTTACAAAAGCTAGCAAGGCTGTTGCGCTTGGGCCAACGACAAGGCGGGGATTTGGTTAGGCCGAGACGGCAAGTGTGGGGCGACGATGGCCAATCATAAATGGCCACGCGAAATAAACGTATCAATTTAAAAATTGTACGACTTTTGGCTAACCAACAAAAATACCAGTGATGTCCTTGGATTACATGTTATAATAAACGAGCAAACGACAAAATACAACTTAACGTAAATTGTTATTTGCTAATTAATAGGTCATCTCACTAGGAATTAGTGTTCAGACGTATGAAAGTTATGATTAATTTACTAACATTTATAACATGAGTCATGTCCCTCGTACATCATACAAATGAAAATGTACAGTTTAATGCACGGTAAAAATGAAATATAATACAAACAACAATATCATAGCACAATAACACACAGATATCAAACATACCAAGTAGGCTGAATTCTCTAGTAAATTAAGCGATTGCTAAATGAAACGTTTTATGAATCACACGGTTTCAACAATAATTATTAGCGTCATAGTGAAGAACAAAGTGTTTTGGCTAAACAACAAAAATGCCAGTAATATTGTTATACTTCTTGCACCACCCTCATATAATAAATGAGCAAACGACAAAATACAATAATTTAACCTATGTTGTTATTTGCTAATTAATAGGTACTTTCGTGAAAGTGATGTTGATTTATTTTTATATTTTGAGTCGTGTTCCTCGTACATCACACAACTAAAAATTTACACTATATTACACAATAATAATTGAATTAGTCGCATGGAAAAGAATAAAAAAGGCGAAAAAACTATTGTACTAAATAGGAACTTCAAAATAAAAATGTTAAAGAAAATAGAAAACTTTTACTAATCTTTCGATGATCTAAGCAAAAATGATAAATTACTTAGTAGTTAATTGTTTTTTTTTTTGTTATTATATATCATCCGCTGCAGATTAGTATTATATTATTATATAATATATATACAAAAGCCCGCAGAGTTTTTAGTATTCTCCAATTTGTTATCAACTTTCGAAAGTTAAATGGTAACATACATATTATTGAAACAATTTTCAAAAATGTTGTTTTTTTAAAAGTCGATAAAATAAAAATGGGATTACAATGAGTTACAAATGGGATTTTTATTTTGTGTGTGGTGTAAAATAATATTATTTAAAATGTTTCCGAAAAGAAATAACAAAATTTTAAATGTTTCAAAGTAAATGAGTATTTTTATAAATATTTATTTACTTAAAGTTTTTTTTTTCTTTTTTAGTGCCTTTTAATATCATCACTTATAATCAACGAGCCCATACCATATATAAAATGTTGCATTTGGCAAATGAGTATTTCACCAATAGATTTTAGATATTTTTAACATGAATGTGTTTTGGCCCGGTTACAAACAACAATTTGCGTAGACAAAAAAGCGTACCAGTATACAGCGTTTCATTTTCATATATTATTATAAATTTGTAAATTATTTAGATGTTTATAAAATATAATATGTACCTGGAGTTGACCATAAAATAATAAAGGCTGAGAAATAAAGCAGCATATTGTTAAAATACATGTTGAACACTTTACAAAGCACTATAAAAAAACCTTGTCAATAGATATTGTAAACCAGCTCGAATATGTAGTTTTATTACAATGGCGGACAATTTCTTTCTATGCTTACCAGGCTATGTTGTAAACGAGTCCCTGTGTTTACATAAAGTGTAAAGAAGTAAAAAAAAAAAAAATGTACTCGTATTGTTCAAATAATGAAAAAAAATATGTTCTTATACTTAACGCAAAAAATATGAAGACTATACGTGTAAAAATTTAACGGGTTTAAAAAACAATAGATGATATATTTCTTAAAATTTTTACAAATACCATACCACATTGTGTGATTCGAATATACGAGTACCTATAAAAATGCTTAACATTGAAAAGTTAAAATAAACAAAAAATCAATAGCGGCTTTGTCTTTTACAAAGATGTATTAACCACCCGAAATTATTGTACTTACTAATAACTAAAATTATTTTGGGCACCCATTTGTGTACGCTGGTATAAACTATACTCCATAGATACAAAACATAACAGATTTATTGAGTACCCATTTTACAATTAATACCCAACTTGTTTAAACCACAGCTACATAACGTACCGTTCCCCCTTATCACCTACTTTTGGACGTTCAGCTAAATAACTAAAAAGGGCGAACGGTCGTCGTTAGTAACGGAAATTAATGTATTGAAGCGCTCCAATTTCAAATCTTCAAATATTAATAACTCAGTTAATTATTAATTATGTTAATTAAAAATTTGTTTGGCCAACTTTTTGATTTTTTAGTTTTGAACCATAAAAAAAAAACATATTGTCCCGTTTGTAAATCAAAAGTTGCCATCATAAAAACGTAAAGTAAACGTAGGGGCTAGGAACATAAATATTTGTGAAAAAGTTAGATCACATTATATGTATAAAATAATAGAAACAAAAAAATTCGATTATTATATTAAAAAAGTTGATGAAATGTATGCCATATCAATTAAGTTCAAAAGTTGCTATCAAAAGTACTAATTTTGGAGGGGATTAAAACAAAACAAAATTGTGAAAAGTTATGATTGTATAAACACTATAAGAAAAAAAAAATTGAATTTCTTATTAAATCCTATGAGATATTGAGTGGTTCGCGGATGGTGATCACCCTGTATAAATTGTTGAAGGTTCGGCGAAAAAAATATTGAAAATTAAACAGCTTGTTTTCGGTTTACCGTTAGAAAAAAAAACCATGTTATAATATCGTGTCGTATCTTTTGTATATTTTTCGGATAGTGTGCACCACGGCAATAATTTGGATTATAAAACTTGAAACTATAAAATGTTGTTTTTGTAAATGTGACTGTTCAAAACCTTAAAGGTCGTGTGTAACCAAATGGTGTACTTTATACTTTGTATGCAATGTGAAAGTCACTGTAAAAAAATACTGTACAATAGTATAACGTGTTGGAAAATAATCACCATACATCGATAGCTTTTATACAGGATGATTCATTATGGATAAGACACTCATTTTCTCAGAAAATATGGATATTTTGAGAATTTTTTTTCCCTAAGCTTTTAGGTACACATTTTACTACATTTTCCCATATTTAGAATATTTTTATCTTCAACCCTTATGTGTAAAACAAGTATCGCATTTGGTTATATTTAAATAGGAACGTATGTTTTTAATTTTATAAATCTGTTGACGAAATTTTTAAAAAAATGTTAGCGTTTGAATTTCTGGTTTTCATCAATCGCTTTCCTACTTATTAAGACGTTGTGAAGATTTAAAATTTTGATCCATATTCATTTGGGATTTCAACACGGGTAGCTTATTATTTCCTATTAAATATAATTATCGACCCTGTCGTCCGTCGATAAAACCGAAAACCACATAATAATAACACTAAAATTCAAAATACTAGTTGTTTACTTATAACTATGCATTACACGCTAACTGCAATGTAGTTACAACATGTGTTGAGGGGTGAAATAACAAATAAAATAATTCTAAACATTTCAACAAACGGTAAAACACGAATGTACAAAATAGGCATTTGCTGTAACTTATGTAAATATACAGTTTAAATAAAACGGTTTTTCTTATAGTAGTACAATACAAAATATAACTTGTAATTTGTAGACATTGCTCCGAAAAACACGGACGTATAAAAAAACCTAACCTGCCGGACCCTGTGTTACCAACTAGAATAAAATTTCCAATATTGAAAATCGAATAATTATTATCAACTTTAAAAAATAATTCAAAACCTTCATAGTCTATGTATTCAAATACTTACCAGAAAAAAACATAATCACACAGTGATCGTTGGTTTCTTTTTTAATGGCGATTTTTTTCACGAACAACTAAAGATACAGAGAGTGTTGATAATTATACAGGTTTTCGGAGTCCGGTATATGTGGTGTATTTGACCGAAACCTTAATTTTGTACAGATTTTAATTTTTTGCTTTTGTGTTGAAACTTATTTTATCACGCGGTAAAATAAAATAATTATCATTTGTGTGTTGTACGAAATATTTTCAATATTAACAGTCGATAAGACAAGGATAAAATACAATTTTAAAAAAACCTGTACAAGTTACTATATGTAGCACATATTTGTTTTCTGTATATTGAACACAGGATTTATTAAAAATGTAAAACTAAACATATTATGCTATCTGTGAACAAAAACCCTATGAGAGTATAATATCTGATTCTAGAATATTGTCAGTTTACTATTTATTACTACCCAATCCGAGTATAACCATCTATTTTCTAAGCTACTATGACAAACACTAACACAAATATATAAAAAAAAACCCAAATTCTAGTGATGTTATGAGTTAAAAATGTTATAATGACAGAAAATAAAAAAAAAACAGTACAATAGGGCCGGGACATAATGGGAACTGGGACCTCACAATTTTACAGGAATTATTACAACTACATAAGTGATAAAATCACTTTCGAATAAACGCTTCGATGCGAATCAGTAGTTAGTATTTTTAAACCAATAAAGTCCAAAACAAGCAAAGTAAGAAAGCATTAAAGAGAAGTGCAGTGTGTACAAATTAGCATCAAAGCGTTTATTTAAAAAAAAAAATTTATTTTTAGAAATAAGTTGTTTTAATAATTTATACAATATAAACGTATTGCGACGTCAGGCATGTAAAATAATACCTAAGATACCTTTCGGGTATACTGTTTTAGTTATATACCGTGTAATCGTTATCTATAATATATTTTGTGTATTGATTGTTGATGCATCTATTACTTGTATCATATTTTTTACCATTGAACCGACTTAATAAAATCGATAAATTTGTCACACCTCCGTAAACTTAATAGTTCAATGCGATTTTTAAAAAGAAAACGAATACAAGATGGCGACGTTTGTACTCCGACCTCCGCACAATTACCACCAATCAACACTATGTACATCCCAACTAGACTCACCTTTTCTTGTTTTAATCAATTTGTTACATTGTCTATACAGGGTGATTCAACTGGTGTAAGACATTCATTTTCTCAGAAAATATAAATATTTTGAGAATTTTTTTCCCTATAATTGTAGATGCATATTTTTGAATATTTAGAATATTTTTTTTTTTTGTCAACCCTTATACGTAAAACAAGTATCGCTTTTGATTCTTTAAATGGAAATGTAAGGTTTTAATTCGATAGATCTGGTGGCAGCATTTTTAATTCGTAACACCTCCATCGCCAAAAAAGGGAAAGCAAAATCGCTTTTTAAAAATTATTGTGTAGAATTACAATCAAAAAGGTTGGTTTGGGCTTATTTAACTGTGTACAAATTACTGAATGGTTTTTAATGTTTCTTAAAACTAAATTTACAAGTTATGATTACTTAAGATAAGGTTAATTAGTTAGTTATTAAAAATGTTTTTATATTTTGTTAATAACAATAATTATTAATTACAGTATACAATAGTCATCACCGATAGGCTTAAGTGACCGCGACCTATGGATGCCCAAAAAATAATATCATTTTACTATGTGTAATATGTATAGTGAGGGTTGTGGAAAAAAATATCCTGACTGGCCAGTCCGATTGTCATTGGACTGAGGTAAATTTATAAAAGCGTAATTCAGAGTACAAAAATTAATCTTACTTATTTTAAATTTAAAATCATTATGATTTCTTATTGTTTTTCAACACGTTATCGTGTGCTAAATTCTAGATTTGTAAAATTTTAGATGTGGTTGTGTAGTAGTTTAAAGAAGTATCATCGATACAAAAAAAAAAACAACACTGAAAACAAAGAAAAATATTTTTATGTGGTTACACACAATACTTCAAGGTCTTTTATATGGCTAACGCATTAATAGTACGAAAATCTGAGCACATAGGCCATTATTAAGCGAAGAGTGAATTTGTCAAACGTTCTAAGTGCCAAAGCAAAAAGATTGAGCTTTATAATTTGATTTGTATTTTATTCATTACCGGAAACACTTAACATATTTTTAAGTGTTAAATATGATTATCTTTTTTATAAGCAACTATTCCTCACTTGACAAATTTACAAAATTGTTTCCTGTAACGCGCGAAATACAAATCAAATTATAAAGTTCAATTTTATACTTTGGCACTTGGAACGTTTGACAAATTCACTTTTCAAGCATTCTTATGTGTATTATTATTATTATTATTCATACGTTATTTCATATCGATACGAATTTCAAGTGAATAAGACACAACAAAAATTATTTGTTTTATTTCAGGTTTACTATAATACATTAGCACATTTCATACAACGAAAATTTAGAGTATGAAATAAAACCATTATCAATTGGAAACCTAAATTTGGCCCCCCGTTTAAAATGTCTGTATTCGTTTGGAAAAATAGTTCTACTCATTACAATTGTTCTAAATACTAAAAAAAAAAAAAAAAATACTTTAGATAAGTTTTTTAAATATTTATTAGGTATATTGTGAATACCAATAAAAAAAAGATTAGTCGATATCAAAGTTTGAACAAATATTTATAGCATTAGTAACATTTCGAAAAATAAGCTGGGGAAAAAGGTATAAAGCTACCAAATAGACATTATTTATGTTTTTTTATTTTAGACACTTAAAACAATGTAACTAGGTCGACGTTGCTTTTGTTTTGGATATATTTCTTACTTAATGCATTGGTGTATAACTAATAGGTAAATGTTTGAACAAGCATACAATACATCACATTAAAATAGGTTTTCTTCTTTTTTCACAAAATAACACAACTTAAGACGAGTTTTCACTACGTTTTCGTGAGAAAAAGTAAATATACAATTATTTAGAAAAGGAATAACAATTATAGTTTCAAAAGGTTTTTAAATGAATATAAAAATAAAATAGAACAATTACTCATGATCGGATGTAGAAAAATTTAGGTGCCCTAAGATCACAATTGCAGCAACATGGATAAAAAAAAATGTTTATGCAAACGAAAATTATAATGTTTATATTATTATTTATTTATTTTACATATTTTTCATAAAATGAAAAATAGTTAGTGCTTAAACTCCCGGCAGAGTGGGGTCTTTAGTTCCTCCGTACCTCGGCTCTCATCCTTGCAATGACACGACATGATGCCTCAGGTAGAGCGGTATAGATAATCTTAAGGCAACGTTCGGGAAAAATCTGTATGTCCATCTACCAAATGCACAGATGTCCCATCTCGCTTGCCATCTGGCACAGAGAGTGAACCATAGTTCCCGTAGAACTCTGTCCTTGTCAGCAGAAAAACGTTTTCTTAATACCTCAATTTCGGCTTGATATGTTGCCATTAGTTCAAGCGGCAATGATCTGGAGCAAAGAGGTGGCCGCGTTCGATTAGCGCCCGTTAGGCCAATCAAAGCTCTCATTTGCAGTTGGCAGAGTATTTGACTACCGCGTTTGGACTCGGCAGCGGGGTACCAGAATTGTATACCGTATAGGATTCTGGGCAGAAAGACACAGTTATAGAGGAGCGTCATATTGCTCCTGTCAGTAGCCCGTATGTCGCTCTGAGCCTGGTAAAGAAATGCAGGTTTTTGCTCTTGATTTCAGCCAAGTGCTGGTTGTACGAGAGATCAGTCGCTACTGTGATGCCAAGATATTTGGCGTGACCGACATGTCTTATCCTGCCTTCTCCAAATTTTATGTTGAAGCCGGTGACCAACGATCCTTTGAGCAAAACCGCAGTGGACTTCTGTGTAGAAAAAATAAGTCCTCTTGTAAGGCCCCATTGATACATATTTTGAGAACTTCCTCCATTCTGTCAACAATAATACGATGGGTCAGCTCAGAAAGGAGAAGATCTTCCATTATAATTGACCATAGAACCGGTCCAAAAAGCGAGCCTTGCAGACATACTTTCGTAAGAGTGGCTGTTTTCCTCACGCCACCAAGTGTAATGGTCACTGTGCGATTTACTAGGTAACTTGTAGTGAGTTCCCTAATATCCGCAGAGCAGCCTAGCCTGTTCATGTCTGACAGTAGGGTAGACCATTTCAGGTTGGCCAAGGAGCCTGCAATGTCGAAAAACGCACCGAGGACGTATTTTTCTCTTGATTCATTCGTTCAATGATGTAGGGCTTCTACGGCGTCAGAGGTCAAGTGCCCTTTTTTGAAGCCGTATTGAAGGCCGCTTATGTGCGGTTCGATTTCAGCGTTGATGTGATCACAAATTATATACTATATAGATTTGAAGAGCGCTGGGAGTATACTGATTTGCCTGTACCATTTCGGGAGACTGGAGTCCTTGTCTGCCTCATTTTTTATCACTACCAAATCCACTTTCTTCCATGTCCGAGGAAAAGTATTGGACTCGAAGCAATCAATGGCAAATTTGAAGAGATGCGTACCAATGTAGACGGACTTTTTTTAGCTGCCCTAACACCTCTCGGCTCAAAATTAGGGGGGTCCCTTGAAAGGAACGGTAGGTGCCTAGAACAATGACGTACCTGTTGGGGTACTTAAAACCAAAATTCGGGGGATGGGGTAATGACAAAAAAAACTAGTCCGTAAACTGGGTTCCCTTACACTCGCTAGTGGTGCAAAACGGTTTTGCGGCACCGATATCTAATTTAAATATCTTAGAAAAAAATTTTAATAATGATTTGGCCGCTAAAATGTTGGAGTCGAACGGCAAACGGCGTAAACGGTAAGATGTTGATGCAATAGCACGTTTTCTTACATTGAATACCCATATGCTTAACACTGAGAAAAACTAAAATCGCTCTTAGTGAGTTTAGGTAGGATCGAATCGAAATCGACACCGATCCTCTCGCGCACTTATTTTAAAACGAGATATGAAATGGCTCTTTGCCACAATAGTTATGATAAAAGAAACACCCAAAACATTGAAAAAAGCACACGTTATGTGCGCTTTTGAAACCAGGAAATCAGCCACCAAAATAATGACGCAAACCACTATTGACAAGTTTCACTGTTATGCCATAATACAGAAGATTCAAAAAAATGACCTACCCCGGTAGAGAGGTCTGGCTACAATTTGTATTATTGTTTATACATGTAATTAACCAATAGGGAAAGAGACAGAACATTTTATCTATGCGGATGATTTAGTAGTATCTAGATGTGACAACCTCCTATGACCGGACACAAGAAGAAAAAGAAAATCATTAAAATACACACCTCATACCCCCCGTTATTGTTCTACTTTTTAATTTTTCTTTCTATTGCAGTAAAAGCAAAACGTACAATTTTACAATAACATGAAACAAAACCACGGTTTTATATTTTTCTAGCAAAAAGCGTTTATAACAAATATCTATCACAGTGCGATCGAATATAATATAAAATAAAAGGTCATAAAATAACATGGTTTGGCAAATACGATTTTTTTTGCACTTGTGTTTATGCAACACCGAAGTAGTAGAAAATACTTCGTCCATCAGTACAGAAGTTATGAATGTTTAGAATGGAAATGTTTTCAGTGTTTACCTACATTGCGTTATTGTTTGATCAAAAAAAACAGGCCACGACAGTCATATACCTAAGAAATCGACCGTAAACCGGTTCCTTTTTACTATAAAATATTTAGCATTATAGCATATTCAATCGACTATAGAGATCAAGTTCAGTTGACATTTTGTAACTAAAAAAACCCATCATATTTTGACAACAGCAAAACAATGCGCGCCACCGTGTTTCAGTCAGTAGCCACAATATTTTGTGCGTGTTGGATTGTAGCCGATGCTAATCTTCCAAAATCTATAAATTTTGTATCGCAATTGGACACGTCACAATCGTCAACAAATAAATCAAATGGCATTATGAGAACAGGTAGAAATAGCTATGGTGGACTGGTGGTGGACAACGACGCCGATATATCAACGTCAGAATTAGCTAAGACGGACGAAAGGGTGCGTTTGATTAATTACGGCGTGAGTGTAGAATATTTTAGCATAGAAACATTTTACAATAAAGTCGTACACACTTTAAAACGACATTTAATCGACTGTTTACAAGTAAACAACGACGACTACAAGGCGTGGTTCAAGTATGGTGTATTCAGTATGTTCGTACCGATTAAACAGCATTTACTGAACAATTCCGTTGCTCTGTTGCTCCAAAGTCGACTCGACATTACACGGTTGATGAGGCTGTATTTATTTTTTTGTGATCCTATTCAAGATCCAGACGTTTCGTCGCACGACCCCAAGTTTGTCGAATTCGGCCAACGAATTCGTAACATACAGAACAACATGAAAGAAAAGTTTAAAGATATCATAGGCGACGAATCTATAGAAATAATCTATAACATTAAGAACATTGGTGAATTGCAAGACGTGAAGAAAAAAACAGAGGATGAACTTTTTGTCCTTGGTGATAGCGCCTTGCACGGAATTAAGCCCAACACTCAATTGTTGCCTAGCACTCCACCTCATTTTGTATGCACCGGATTATTGAAATGGACGGCGTTGATGAAATCCGACAACGAAGATGCCGCAAAAATACAGAACACCGGAATTACAGTTGGCCACACTGACATGACCATGCGGCAATACGCCGACGGATTTAAATACGAAACAGATATCGACAATCTCAAACGACTTAACTACGAGGTATTATTACGTATTAATAATACATTCTTTCGTTACTTGTACAAGCATTTTGTTTTATCCCACGCATTCGTCAACGCGAATGTATTAAAACTAAAGTCACACGACACGAAGACAACGATTAAACAAATTCATGGATTTCGGGCGTTCTTGGAGATTTTCAATCTATCATTTGTCGCTCGCTATTTAGACTACGTGGATCAACCGAAATCACAAACAAAGTTAAAGGCCTTGATGGAGTATACGGATTGGTTCAGAATGGATTTAGATATGGATCCACTTGAAGAAATCTATCAAAAAGCAGCGGTAAACAACACAAATCAATTATTTAGTGAATTTACCGCAGCCTTTTTGCAAGATCTCAAAGTAAACAATTGGCAAAAATGGATTGATGGCGTTAACGAAGAAGTCTTAGGTATATCAGTAAATATAAAAAAAGCCTTAGAAGCAAACACAACTAAAATGCTGGCACTTATGGCACTATGTGTCAAAGAATTAAATCCAGATTGGCCAAAGCCCGTAAATTCGATATATTATAGAAGGCCTTCAATTTAATTTTACCGACAAAAGTGCAATATAAAATATACAATATGCCTAATAATAGCAGTAATACCACAGATATATATATATATAATATATTTCTCTAATAACTGATAATAACTCTAATAACTGTTCTAATAACTGATACAAAATAAAGAAAACATTATAAAAATAAAATTGAATACAATATAGAAACAACAAAGGGAATATAAATCACATAAATAGTGAATTTTCAGCTAATTAATTGCCAAGAGACATTAAATTATATTTTATTGGATGGTTTGACATGTAATTCTGAGGGACAATAATAAATAATTGGTTCGTCCGAACATTACGGTTATTCACTTTAAAGTTAATTAGATTAAGAAGAAAAGAATCGGCAATTTAATTATTAAGAAACATAAAAAGAGAAGTTCAGCATACAGCGACTGCGTAAATTTAAGGATTCCATTTTTAAGATACTAAGAATATTTCCATACCGAGAATGGTGGATTTTATTTATTTTGATTATAAAGCAAATAAATTTAAAGACTTTATTTTGTATTTTCTCTATAATACGATATAATATTAAGAATATAGTATAAAGATTTAAAAATTAATTTTATGTATGTAGCAAAGTTTTAGTTGCCAATAATAAAGTTTTGAGTCCCTATAACTAAATTTTTTTTTTTAACCCGAACTTCACTATCTTATCCATTTGCTATTGTAACTTTTAATTGTGTTGCCTAAGATATGGTATTCGGTTGGAAACATTCGGAAAGTATATTTGATGACCATTTTGACCAATGGTCCGGTTGGTTTTACTCCGGTGATATAGAGAGGGTGGAAAGGTGTAAGGATTTGCTGATGACACTGAATTATACACATACATAGAAGCCGCATAGTGAAAACAAATTGATCTCACACGGATTCCGCCAACTTGATTACTGTCATGGAAAAAACGGTGTAACATAATTTATTAAATGTATTTGTAGTCAGCAAAAAATGACCAGGTGAATTGATCGATTTGGCAAGTGGTAACTAGGGAAAAACACAGTAGAAAAAAAGGCAACGACGTTTTTTCTTTGTTTTATATAATCTAAATTCTATTCACTGTAATATGTAAAACACAAGTTTCATGAAAAGTAATATTTTTCGTTTGGCAATAGGATTTCCTGAAATAAAGTTCAATATTTCTC